TACTGGAGCTCAGTAAATATAAATTCATATTGGCTGAACTTTGGAATAAAGTTCTATCGATAGATAGATAGATAGATAGATAGATAGATAGATACTGGTACAGGTTGTACATGGGAACATCTTGGATTATGAGTACTCTATACAGCATATGAGTAGCACGGATGGACGGGTGTCAGTGTTCCCGCACTTTGTTGGTTTCTGTGACCTCTGTGTCACCTACTCAACATCAGCTCTCCAAACAACGGCTGATCTACCAGTTCTGAGGGAAGGCAGGCCCTGTATGAGATCTGTTGTGACACCATCCTCAAATGTGTTTTTCCGACACTCTTCTGTTTACCCTTTCCCAGAAAGCCCTAAAAAGCGTGCAAATTTCCATACACATCAAGTAAACTCAAACTGAGCAGTGCCACAAACAATAGAATCATCAGCAAAGATCTGTGGCTCTTTAGAGATTCTACACTCCCATATTCCGCCGTGGAATTCTTCAAGATTCTTCCTTCTCCACACCTGACATGGAACTTTAAGTGGGGTAATGACAAGCGGGAAAGCCGCCACTGCAGAGAGCAGCTGTCTACAAGCCATGGGTTGTGTGGGCTGCCTGCTCGGAGCGAGCGCTGAGGTGTTGTCATCGAGGATCTCGGATGAGTGTCAAAACACCAGCTTCCAGATTCCTCTCAGTTCGCGGCGCATTATTTTTATATATCGTTTTTATCCCAGTCTTTGCCTCACCGAAGGCTTATGCGAATTTGTCCACAGTGTGACGGATGTTCCCGACGTCTCCTCCCCGAGATGGACTTGTGCTTCCGCTTCTACACCGATGTCTTCTTGAGTTTCTCATCAGCCACCCATGGAGATTCCAGCATGTGGCATTGGGCTTTTGATATTGAGATTACCCTGACTAATTGGCTCCTTTACGAGGCTCCTCAATATTCCCAGGCTGTAATTTTGCCTTGCCAGTAAATAATGTACAAGTTAGCAACCATTTTTGTTCATGCAACAGTTTTAAAATACACAAAATTATTTTCCGTTTCATCACTGATGGTAGTCCAACCACAATTCGGTCTTATTTTAGTCTACCTACACTACTAGGATGTGCCTGTCTTCTCATTTGAAGACTCTGCTCTAATTTGCCCAGTCCTTCATCCCAAGTCGAGCCTCTTCCTCCTCCTACCAGGGATTGTGATATTCTTGAGTGCTTGTCTTTGTGTCCACTTGTCTTCCATTTGGCCTTATTAGGAATCAACCATCAACTGTCCTCTGAGTTTGTGCTTTGAGACCTTCGTCTGTCTTCAAACTCCCATCTTTCTTGGCCTCATCGTCATCCGTAGATCTAAGTGGAGCATGTTGAAGATCCTTGAAATTTCCCAGGCTGTAATATTGCCTTGCCTGTAAATACTGTACAAGCTAACAATCCTTTTGGTTCATGGAAAAGTTTTAAAGTACTTTTGTTGTTGTTGTTAGTCTTATCACTAGTGGTAATCCAACTGCAATTTGGTCTTATTTAGTCTACATACACCTTTTGGAAGTGCCTGTCTCCTCGTTTGCCTGTCGATCCTTATTTGTCCAGTCCTTCATCCCGGGTCAATCCTCTTCCTCCAACTACCAGGCATTGTGATATTCTTGAGTGCTTGTCTTTGTGTCCACTTGGCCTTATTAGGAATCAACCATCAATTGTCCTCCAGGTTTGTGCCTCGAGACCTGCATCTGTCTTCAGACTCAATTAATTCTTGACCTCATCATCATCCGTAGATCTAAGTGGAGCATGTTGAAGATCTAAAATACCACAAACCATTTGAGGCTTATGCTGTGGTGTACGAGTTAAATTGTTTACATTGTAATCCCAGTTCTGCTTTAATTCTGGGAGGTATTGTGGTATAATTAGATATTCAAAATTGGGATTTGTGTCAGTGTGGCTCTGATGGGTTTGAATGATGATTAATTGTAGTCAAAACTCCAGTGGCCGACGTAATGCAAGCTCATGCCGCCGTTGATTATGTAGCCATGTTTGTGTTTTAAGAATTAGATGTGTAATTGATATGCCATATGCTACCCAAACCCGATGTACCCTAAACTGTTAAAAGCAGAGAATTGGGATTGAGTATGGTTACACTGTTTGACAGCTCTGAAGATAGGGAAACGCTTGCTCCTGAAACTTATATTATAGTTTTATTTCACTTTTTGAGAGGCGGCTCAAAGTCATAAAGTTTTGGAGATTGGGTTTTTTTTTTAGTTGCTCTATATAAATATTATATTTTTAACATATACACGACGTTAAATAATCTTAAGATGGTTGATTTTCTGAAGACCAGCTCTTATCTCTATTTTGACCTTATCAAATTGGTGATGTTTTACGTCCAAATAGATTTGTGTGTCGTAAACAGGCTTTTCACTGAATATATCTCATTTCCATTTTCTGTATCGCTCGGTATCATTCGCTATTGTTTTGGCTTGCTCCAGTGACTGGGGTAGTTGAGGCCAGTTTCGATGAAAGAGCATCCGGACTGTCTCCTTTCAGTTTATGGCTGTTTGTGAAATGTCTGGATGCGCGTAGAACCATGTCCCCGGCTTTCTCTCCCCCCTGCGTTCGAGTCAACCTTTGCAAACGAAGGGAAGTCTTCATTAAATGTGGCAATCGGTTCCACAAGATTGATGCCAACCTTTTAAAAATTCACCATTGGGCCGAATTGAACACGGGCAAATGCTGATGCAGATGAACAGGGAGAAGTCGGCCCCATCGAGAGAAATAAATCTGAGTTGCAGGCTTCAGTTCATAAATACCACAGGCTGTCAGGGAGCATGTTTTATGGCCCCTGATAGAAATTACTGCATTTATTTATCTCATCACACCTGATAGAAATGCAGAGTAGCCACTCACGGCAGACCTGTCTTCAGTTTACTCACGAGTTGAATACTAGAGCTGACCCCCAGTTCCCATTCATTAATTCGGATGAATATGTACAGTAGATTTCTGGTGGACAGGGTGTTTGACTGAAAAAAATGCTTTCAGAAAGAATCAATGACTGTGTTTTTGATAATTCAGTTTTTGCTTAGCGGATTTCTACACCAAAGTAACCAACCGGATTTGCATTTGCATCTACACCCCGGCCCGAGCGCTTCAACCATTTCATCTATTTATTTCAAACATACCCCTCCTCCATTTTCAACATCTAGGCATCTCCTGCTTTGCATTGATATCACATTTCAGAAGCTTTTCCAACATCCACTTCTGCACTTACCTTCCTAACTTACTCTCAAATTCAGATTCTTCCGCCGGCTAAATGACATCTTACTCCCCTTGGCAGTGTCACTTTGCTCCTAATCTTCTTCCAAACATGACTCTGTCTGACTTTAATGCATCTGATGCATCCTGTAACCTGTTGGAGATGCTCATTTGGTCTTCAAAGCATGTCTAAAGCAGAATTATGCAGCGCTCTTGAAGCAGAGAGACTCAGGCAGCGAGCACTGAATTTATTGATTCCCGTGAGTGAGTCAGAGAGTGTAATTCACCAGCACCTGATTGATGAGGAGAGCAAGTTCAAACTGTCCATGAAGTGCAACGCACGCTATTTTTGCTCTTTCCCAAAACTTTGATATGGATAAGCAGTTTGACTTGAGACCAGCAGAGGATTATTTTATGCAAAATATTTATTATTAATAATAATAATAATATTATTATTATTATTCTCTTTGACAAATTGCTTTTATTCCTCTTTTCATTCAAGTCTAAATGCAGAAATATAATGAAAATTAATTAATATTAATAACAATAATAAATAATCGTATTGGAAATATAAAATATTTTATAGTAAATTGCATGTATGAAAGTATAAATGTAGTAATACAAAATGTGAAAATTGTATTATAAAAATATAGAATGTTTGATAATATAATATAGATATATTTGATAATATTGATAATATAAATTATTATTTCTCTATTTTATTATAATAGGATGAATCTATTTTATAATAATAATAATAATAATCTTTTATCATTTTATTATTATTATTTATATAATTATATTAATTGAATTTCATTATTATAAATTATTGGTTGGATTTAATTTGTTTATCAGAAAATTGGCTTCTGAAAATTTGGTTTGAATATTTTCAGCATAATTACTGCAACATTATTAGATTCATTGGCACTTCTATAGTATAATAGGAATCTAGTGTGATGCTCCAAGGAAATAATAAAAAAAAGTCCAACACTTTAGCTGTCCACGCAGGGTGACACTAATAATCTAACCAAAGACACCCTCCTTGGACTGATGAGGTGGTTGTGTGTGTATAACTGTGTGTATAAGTTTTAGGACCGTTTCTGGACTGCTACTGTTGTTGGTTTGTGTGTGTGTTTGTGTGTGTGTGTGTGTGTGTGTGTGTGTGTGTGTGTGTGTGTGTGTATACCATACTTGCTTAGGAACCCTTCTTATTACCACTGACTCCATGACAACCGCTCACTGGCACCTAAGAGCCACAGACAGGGAGGGAGAGAAAATGGGAGGTTAATGATCAGATGGAGTCAGTGATTCACAGTGGTTAAAGATGGAGACCCACAATCCCTAACATTAATGATTCCTGGTATATTTATATCATATTTTTATATTCTAGTTTCAAGAACTCTTTAAAGAGCTGATTCATTTGTGGAGCACAGTGTTGTACAGTCCAGTAAAGTACGCGAGATCTCATCAGTTTGCTGCGTCGTTCACAATGTGGCACTTTGAAGATTTGAATTGTGCAAATTGCGTTCATGACAGATTTTATGGTCCGTGTTTGCGTTGTTATCTGATTTGCATAATTGCTTCATAATTCTGCAGACACCATGTGTAAATAAACGGTCCTGAAATTCTAAAATGCAGAACGATTTCTATTGAATTGCTGTGTGAGATCTCCTTCCAGAATCATTTTTCTGAACACAGTGATTCTTTTGAACATTTCCATTAATTATTTCTTATGTCTTTGCACATAGTTAATGAGGTCAATTCTGCCTCTCTTTCCTAGAAAATTCCCAGAGTCTCCGGCCTCCAGTCCTACTAAAAAGAACATGGTCAGGCCAGACTATGAACACCAAATCTACAACATCTACACCAAATCAGGTCAGTCCCTCTGTAACTATTATCTCAAAAGTTCAGCATTAATTTTGGGTAATTCTAGCAAACATTTACAGCATCGGTACACAACCTTCTGTGAAATTGACTTTAGTGACATTGCTACAATTATTGTTAACACTTCAAGTGGCAGAAAAGAAATACACCAATGACGTGTGCACTTCTATGCAAACATTAGGAGAATGTGATATGTGCGCTTCAGGAAATCCCATTGACCACCTCACTCTGCAGACCTGTCTTCCATGTCCAAAATATAACTTGAGTTTGGGATGTGAAGGCATGCTTGTGTGTTTTTTTCTGGCTGGAGAGAGACACCATGTGGTGAGGATGAGCTAATCTGTAGCACAGAGGAAGAAATCACACTGTATTGAGGTACATACATCAAGGTCCAAAGCTGACATTTGGTCACACATGCTTATGTGCTTTTTTTGATATAGGTTTTTTTTTTGGTAATTAATGATAAAATGTGCAGGTCATACAGTGTATAACTTGCACTTGTAATCATGATTTTATTCTTCATATTTTCATTTTAGTGGCTTAATGTGAAGAATATACCACGTGTTGCTGGAGAAGAAAAAAGTTAGATGATGTGCAAGTTGCTAGTTATTTTGACCCTCAATTCATTTGATTTGGATTTTTTGATGGTTTTTATTTACTATATTTTAGCTTCAGTTTGTATTTTCATTAATTGCATTAATACCTCTTTGCTCTTAAAACAGCCTTAAGGAGACTTCAGGAAGTCACATATAGATTTTATGCATACTGTGATTGCGCGATTACAGGCACGTTGATCGTATCAAGGCTTCAGTGGTTAAAATAAGTGACTGACACATTAAACTCTGCCACTTGCCTTTGACGTGGTTAAAGGGACAGCAGATTGACTTGTTCTCGAGTGAGGCCGAAGAGAAAGGAAAGGTTCTGTCAGCACGTGGGCTGATGCATTCTGCTTCCCTGTCGCCATGGTAATGCCATTTGACTGACATGCAGACATGCTCTGCCACCAATCATCACTCTGTCACCACAAGTAGTGAATTCTATTGATCCTCCTTTAGCAACGTCTCTGTAACCGTCAGGAACTGTGTTCACAGGCGAGCTTAGCAGCGGAGCAGTATGTTGTCTAGTTATCCAGTGGATATTTTGGTATTTTTTTATTGATGGAGATAGTAGAGACACAGGGAATGTGTACACAAACTGCTGTGCCACAGTTCTGACAATGTTGCCTTAAGCTTCTTATAAATAATAATTATTATTATTGTTTTATTGTATAATTATATATATTTCGGTTACACTTTATTTTAAGGTGTCCTTGTTACAGTGTAAATTATACATGTATGTACTGAGTAATATTAATTAACTACATATACTTATGGTTAGGGTTAGGATTAGGGTTTGGATTAGGGTTACTTGCATGTAATTATAAAAAGAAGTACATGTAATGTGTAACAAGGACACCTTAAAATAAAGTCTTACCCATATTTCTATAAATAAATTATATTATAATTACATGTTATAAGATATATGTGCATGTTTACGTATATTTATTATATAAATTAGCATGCACAAATATAACATGTAATTGTAAATTTAATTATATTGTATAATTATACATATTTCTATAAATTAATTATATTAGAATTACGTGTTAGAAGATATGTGCATTGTAATGTATAAAATAATATACACACAAATTAGCATGCACACATATCTTATTACATATAATTATAATATGATTTATTTATAGAAATCTGTATTATTATTACTACTACTACAACTACTACTAATTTGTTAAATCTATTTAATTTAATTATGCATTTATTTTTTTATTTAAAATGTAGAATTAGTATTATTATTATAATCATTATTATTATTACTTTTTTTATTATTATTATTATTATTATTATTGTTGTTGTTGTTGTTCTTGTTGTTAGAGACTTTTATTGAATTTTCTTCATGAATTGAGTTATGACCTGAGGAGCAAGTGTGGGGTTTCAAACAGACAGCTGGATTTACCTTAATCGTTGGGGACTCCGCGCCCTCGCATATGTGCATATATGTATGCGCGTGGATGTTGACAGCTGGCCAGGTTCGAGCTGGGCTAAAACCATGTGCGCTCTGTCAGGCTCGTAGCACCAGCTCCTTCAGGACTGATGAATTGCCTGCTTTCTTGATTAAACCCTCCGTCACTTCCCAACAAAACACACCCATGCAAAAAAAAAAAAAAGACGAGGGCATTAAAA